AATGTAGTGCAAGTAGAGTAGGGGCATTAGGGGACGAGAGCTGAGGAAGCATTGTTCTAAGTCAGCCATAAAAATGTTGGCATACTGTGGGGCCATGCGGGTACCCAAAGCACCTACTCCAGGACAGGCCCAACAAAGAAAGTAACAGGATGCCACTAGCCGTCACCTTCAGCCCCCAACTACGCCCAAATAAATTCGTTAGTCTCTAAGGTGCCACAAATATATACATATTTCATCTAATTAAATTTAATTAGCCCCAAATGTAGCAGACTATAAGCAAACTTGCCCAAAATACTGCAACCTGTGACTGCTCAAAAAATACAACTGGCATGCATAAGTAGCCCATTCCACAGGAAAACCTTGAATGTGGCAACATTCAAACAATGTGTCTGAGTCTGTGCACAGTGTGTGTGCGCACAGGGAACATGTGGATGGATGTGTACAGGGTGTGTGCATGCGAGGGATGTGGGGCTGGGTGTGCACAGAATGTGTGCGTGCAGATGTCGAAGGGGTGTGTGTGTGTGCAGATGTGTACGAGGGTGTGTGTGCAGGGGATGTGGGATGTGTGTCTGCAGGGGATGTGGGGTTGGGTGTGCATGTGCAGGGGATATGGGGTAGGTGCATTCAGGTTGTGTGTGCAGGGGATGTGGGGGTTGGTGTGCACAGGGTGTGGGCATGCAGGACTCGGTGTGCGCAGGGTGCGGGCATGCAGGGGATGTGGGATGGATGTGTACAGGCGAGTGTGTGGAGGGAGGATGGATGGGGGTGTGTGTGTAGAGCGGGTATACAGGGATATATGGGCGGGAGGATGGGCTGGACACAGGTTGTGTGTATGGAGGAGCAGAGACTGCACGGGGAGATATACCCAAGGGGATGCAGGCGGGGGGGGTGCACGGGGAGCGAGCGAGAGGTGCATGTGTGGAAGGGATGGTGAGTGGGTGCGTACGCGGGGTCAGGTTTCGGCCGCGGGGTCTCCCTTTCCATGCAGCCGGGCGGGGGTGTCCGCGAGCCGCTCTCCCGCTGTCACGTGGGGCGGTGCGGACAGGCTGACTGCGGCTCCTCTCCAGCCTCCCGCCCCGCAGCTGCGCGCGAGCTGGGAGCACAAACCGCCACCGTCTCGGCGCCTCGCCCCCACCCCACCCCTGCAGGCGGGTGCCCCGCACGCAGAAGGGGGCGGGGCTAACGCCTCGCGGCACTTCCTAAGCGCCCGGCACCGCCCCTAACTCGGGCCGGAAGTGGTCGGCCCCGCCCCGGAAGAGCTCGGGGCGGAGACGGGCGCGGGTCGGGACGGGAGTGGGACGACTCCGCTGCTGCGTTAGGTTTGCACCGGAGCTAAGATGGCGGCGCAGACGCAGAGCGGGATTCGCCTCAGCGCGGTGAGCGAGCGGGCGGGCGGGCTCCCCCGGGGGGGGGCTGAGTTGGTTTCTCCCGCCTTTCCCCCTCCCCCCGCCACTGTGCCTCGGGTCCGTTCCCTGGGGGCTGCTGCTCCAGCCGCCCGCACCCCCAGTCTGAGCCGTGTGGGGCCGAGCCCGGCGGGGGCACGGAGGGGCGGGCTGAGGCCTGGCCCCGGGCAGGGAAACCTGCGCTTCCGAAAACCAAAACACCGCGGGGCCCGCTGGCGGCTCCCGAGAGATGGGCCGGGGGGGGCTCGTTCCGCGCCGCCATGGGGGAGTCCGGGGGGGCGGGGAAGGGCCCCGGGGGGGCGTTTCCAGGCTCTGCTGGGGGGGTCCGGGAAGGGCTCGGCGCTCTGTGCCGGCCTGGCCGCGGGGATGGTCACCGCGTGGCTATTGTGGGCGGTGTCATCGGGGCTGTTTGGAAACAGGAAGGCGAGGTACTGAGTTGAGCTGAGGCGTCCCTCAGTGTTTCGAGAAGGGGGACTTGGGAGAGACTGCAAACGCCTTTCGGTTTGATGCTCTGGCCCTGCCTGTGGAGGTCACCGGACAGGTTTGGGCAGGAAGCCCGAGATTGGGAGGCGGAGGAGAAGAAAAACAGTGGCTAGATTTAAAAGGACATGAGCATTCTGTGGGTTAGGCAGTTGTCAGGGACCTCTGCAAGGGAAACCTGTTGGCACCCACACACCCCTGCAGAGTTATTAAACAGCTAAGCTTTCCTGTCCCCTTCTCACGTGATGGAAAGGCATAGATAATATGCAGTATTGTTGTAGCAGTGTGGGTCCTACGGTATTAGAGACACGAGGCGGGCAAGGTAATATATCTTCTATTGGACCAACTTCTTTTGGACAAAAAAAAAAGACATGCCATATCACTTGTGATGAACACTTTTCATGAAGCGATCACTCTATATCTGATTTATGAATCCTTATCCTCAAAGGAAACTTGCACAACACTTCCAAAAGATGAGTGAGAGCTTAAATTCATAATTTTGTTACATACTAAAAATCCTGGTTATAATAAAGGTATTGGCTTCATGGCTTATTACAGTAATCTGTAACCCGCTAACCCCACTTTTTGTCATGTGACATATGGATGTTAATGGGCCACTTCACCTTGAATGGTTCCTTAGAATATGTGCTAACAATTTAGCTGTGACACTGTGGCCTTGGCTACACTGGTGCTGTACAGCGCTGCAACTTGCTGCGCTCAGGGGTGTGAAAACGCACCCCCCGAGTGCAGCGCTGTAAAGCGCCAATGTAATCAGCGCCTGCAGCGCTGCAAGCTATTCCCCTCGGAGAGGTGGAGGACTTGCAGTGCTGTGAGAGAGCTCTCGCAGCGCTGGCGGCGCGACTACATTCGCGCTTCACAGCGCTGCCACAGCACTGTTAATCCCCAAGTGTAGCCAAGGCCTCTGAGGGCTTGTCTGCACTTCAGGTACAGGTACTGAGAGGCATTTACCAAGTCAAGGGGAGAAGCCTTCCTGTTGACATAGCGCTGTTTATACAGGAAGTTTGGTCTGTACTGTATTGCTGAGTGACATAATTATAACCCCATAAGTCCCTAGTGTAGACTAGGGCTCAGTACCTTTCCCAGATCTGAAAAAGAGCTCTGTGTAGCTTTAAAGATTGTCTCTCTCACCAACAGAACTCGGGCTTAGATAAGATAGACAGGCATGTAGATCTTCTGTTTTTAAAAAACTTTTTTCTCTTATGCTATTCTTTGTGTTCCCACTGTTGGGACTAAAGAATACTTTGTTTTAAGAAGCCTCGTTTTTGGTCACTGTAATCCATTGGTCACAGATTCCCAAAGGAAGGACAGTAGGCACCAAACTAGTCAGATCTGTTGGGTAAACACAGTTGATATGCAGGCTACTGTAGCCTAACACCCTTTCTATGAGTGGGAGAATAGCAGAATTGTCCAGGGGAGAAGGCATGAGACCTGAGAAGCGGACTTAGAGAGATCAGTAAGGGGTCAAAGGCACAGCTAACCATGATAGTGGCAACTAGCATTGTCCATGGCTGTGGCTATAACCAAGGGCTAAAACCAGTTGACCAAATCACTTAGAAGTTCTGGATGTTTAAAAATTACTAGTAATATTTAGGGTTGCCAACTCTCCTGGTTTCGCTGGGAGTCTCCTGGTATCAGATCCTGTATCCCAGAGGCTACTGAAACCAAACTGGGAGATTTTAGGCCAGTAAAAGTCGGGAGGTGCAACAGGGCTAAGGCAGACTCCCTATCTGCGCTGGCCTCATAATGCTCTTAGAAGCGGCCAGCACGTCCCTGTGGATGTGTGTGTGTGTGGTGTGGGGGGGGGGGAGTGGGGGCTCCGTGTGCTGCCCAAGCTCCGACTCTGCAGCTCCCATTGGCCACAGTTGCCGGACAGTGCTTGTGGATGTGGGCAGAGCATGGAGCCCCCTGCCCCTCACCCAGATGCCGCAGGGATGTGCTGGCTGCTTCCAGGAATGGTGTGGCGCCAGGGCAGGCAGGGAGCCTGCCTTAGCCCCGTTGTGGTGCTGCCTGAGGTAAGTGCCTCCCGACTGGAGCCCACATCCCTCACACTCTCCTACCTGTACTCACCCACGCACCCCACCCACACG